AGATGGTGATATATGCTTATTTTATACGTCAAGGACATGAAGCCCAAGGTCAATACAGCTGGTTAAGTGGTAAAACCAGGATTTGAACCCAGACAGTCTGGCTTCAGTGCTTAGAAATAGGTGTTCATGAAAAGCTTAACATTCTGTGAAATTGCTCTCAATAACAGTGTTTATGAAGAAAATACATTGTTATGGATAGAGTGGTTGAAACTGATGCAGCTTTGTTAATCAGAGCACGGTCAAAAAGAATAAGCCTGGGAACCAGCAGTTAACATAATGGCTGTGTCGCTGGACTCCCACGTAGTCAACTGCAGTTCGCGTCCTGGACCCGGTGGCTTAAACTCACGCCGGACGTGTGTGCGTGCGTGCCCAAGATCCCAAGAGGAGACTAAGAGGAGAATGGAGGAGAAGGGATTGCGGCATGGCCATCCCCCCTGGGGGGTGATTTCTCGCTTTCTGTCTCTATGTCTCTCTCTCTCTGTCTGTCTGGCGAGCACACGTGCCCTATAGCAAAAACCTCTCCCCAAAAAAAAAAAAAAAAGAATAAGCCTAATAGAATTATTAGTAGGCCATTAGGAACGTCATGATGTGTATTTTTTTTGTTTTGTTTTTAGAATTATTTTATTTAATTTTATTTATGCATTCATTTTAATTTGACTAGAGAGAGACACAGGGAGAGGGGGCAGGGGAAGTGAGAAAGCAAGCTACCAGATTTGGGACTCAAACCATAATCAGCCACACGGGAGTGTCCAGCGCCTTAACCACCACGCCGCTCACTAGTCCCTATGATGTATTTTTCAGTGTTTTTTTTTTTTTAAGATTTTTTAAAAATTTTACTTGATTTATTTATTTTAATTTGAACAGAGAAAGACAAGAGTGAGAAAGAGAAAGAGGGAAAGTGAGAAAGCAAACTGCCAGGTTCAGGATTCGAACTGTCAGCCATCTGCGAGTCCACTGCCATGAACCACTTTATCACCTGTCAGCCCCTTTGCTGTTTTTCTATGCAACAATGGGTTGTGCCTGCTGTGAACACGATGAACTAGAACTGTAAATCTAGGACTTCTTTGCGTATTTAGCATTTTTTTTTCTTTTTTTCTTTTTTTGGAGAGGTTCTTGCTAGAGGGTGCGTGCACTCGCCAGACAAACAGAGAGCGACAGAGAGACAGAAAGCGAGAAATCACCCCCCAGGAGGTATGGCTACGCCGCAATCCCTTCTCCTCCATTCTCCTCTCGGAATCTTGGGCATGCACACACACGCGCCCAGCGTGAGTTTAAGCCACTGGGTCCGGAACTGGAACCGCAGTCGACTACATGGGAGTCCAGCGACATAGCCATTATGCTAACTGCTGGTCCTGTATTTAGCATTTTAGATTATTATGTCACGGTGACTTCACTGCAACTGGCCATTAATAGATTTTTAAAATTTTCATATGACCAGAGAGGTTCAGAGTAAGAGAGGGAAAGTGAGAAAACAAGCCACCGGGTCCAGGACTTCAACCATGTTTGGCAATGTGGAAGTCTAGTACACTCAACCACCACACCTTCTTAACTGATTTTTAAGGTTTTTGCCATAGATGTGGAGTCCTCAGAGAGAGACAGTGAGAGGGAAAGTGGGAAATCACCCCCGAGAGGGATGTCCATACCTCAGTCCCTTGTTTTCTATTCTCCCCTCAAGATTTTGGGTAAGCACATACACGTACCTGGTAGGATTTTTTTTTTTTTTTTGGAGAGATTTTTTCACTGTAGGGCGCGTGCACTCGCCAGACAGACAGAGAGAGACATAGAGACAGAAAGCGAGAAATCAACCCC